GGAAATAAATAATTATCAATTCATAAAGTTTATATAGAGAAAATAAGATAAAAGAAAGGAGGAGATGTAAAGATGAGATAACAAAAACATTACCGGTAATAAATATCATTAAAAACAAAGAACATGTAAAATCGGATTATATTCCCTATAACAAAAATTTTTTTTAAAATACATGGGTACACCAGATAAGAATACAGAAGCTTCAGTACATGTAGGTATATATAAATTATAATCAAATAATGTATAGTTTGTTCATAAACAATGCGGATAATGTTATAAAGATAATGAATAAATTAATATAGGATACATAATATACTCTCAAATGCATATAGTGATAGGAGATGATAAGACTCATAAAATAAAGGCATAAATATTATAAGGTAGATGGAAATTAGGATAAAAAATAATAAAATATATAAATAACAAATTAAAGGGTAAAAATAATAATAAAATAAGAATAGAACACAGTTTGGAAGATGGAATAAATATAACTAAATCTACTAAGACAAATATGAGTTTGTTCGGGATTACGCAAGAGGCCGTCGTGACGTCAGCCTCACCAGCTGTTCCTCGCGACACGCGGATCGCACGTACGCCGCGTCTTCGGTAATCGTCAACCGAATTCGGCGATTACCGGCTCGCGCGTCTCCAGCCGCGTTCTGTCGTTGCCTAGGCCATCTGTAGGTCGCCTCGTATGATCAACACGCCGTCCTTGTCTCCCTTAGATTAGATTAGATTATGGCTCAACGTCTCCCGGGAGAGGGGAAGTGCGATTTCCCCCCCAAGGCCCAGCTGTGGCTTCTAGCGCCTGTAGGTTTCACACAGCCCCCGCCACGTTAGCCGGGACTACGGTGGGCGTTACCCGGGGAGGCAATTTCCCCCGGCTTTCCAACCCGACCAACTTTTTCAGGCCCGGGCCACATGGAGGCGAGGAAGTACTCGCCCAGGGGGCGGAGAGTCACTAGGATCGTCCCATCCCTACCTAAGTAAGTAGCTATGGAATATGGTCGTCGGGGCAACCGATCCTTCGTCTCCAAAGTGAGTACCGGCTCACTCTTTGCTTCACCCACAGACCGAGTCTGTACCAGGGGTGGAATCATCGTGCTTGCGTACGTTCCGTCATCGAGAGAGAGCTGTGTCGCCTGTTTCAACCCCCTATTGCTCTACCTACCTATGTCCTGAATATTTCAGGAGCCCCCCCTCCTCTGGTTCCCCTCACAAATCTACCACCCCCCTCAAGGACAGGGAGGGAGTCCCGGGACTCCGACAGAGATACATGGGGAGGCCGTTCTAGCCGACCTCAAGGAGAGACGTGGTCGGGTTCGGCGATCACCTCCCCTGGGAGCCGTGGTGGACCATAAATGAATCCACCGCCATGTGAATCTAGTCTAAATCTAAAGCTGGGTATGTGAATTTAATAGAGTGGAAAACGAGGTAGAGTAGATCGCGCCCTCCCCCCTCCCTAGAATCTGCAAGGAACGCGACGCGAGACGGTAGCCCACCGGACTTCGCCGAAATTTCTCCGAAGAGTAAATATCAGTTTCATCAGGGACCACCGCTCGCGTTCTGGGTCGCGAGTATCGCCCCTCCCTAATGGTCGACGCTCTCTCTCTCTCCGGCGTACCACGGTCGTTGCAGCGTGTGCCAAACGCCTTCGTGACCCGTCCACATATGTGTTCCGGGGTCACGATTGTTTACCGGCACGTGGGGCCTATTTTTGGTAATGCCATACCTTACGTCCGGCGCTTCGTTCGTAAAGAACTGCCTTCCGGAATACGGTGACCGCGGAGCTCGTTGGGCCGTTGTCCCGCAAAGACATGCTCTTCATGCTTCCGGGACTCGGTTCGCCAGTATACGCCCCGCTGTCCGGAATCGCATTCGGGCCCCTACGCGCTATATACTACTCAAGGTGGCACGACCAGGCCCCCGAAGGGTTTAATACCTGGAACGGCATTCACCCCCCTTCCCTCGGGCCCGAATGAGCGTTCCTGGCGTCTGGATTTCTTACCTCTGTTCCGGGAGCATCTTATCGAAGATCCGCCCGGTCCAGTATGTGACCACGCGTCCTTGACCGCTATCCGGTATGCTACCCGGTATCCGTGTCCTTTGCCCACGGAACGTCGTCACGGGCTGGTGTTTGAGTGTGCGCTCGGTGTACGCAGGCCCGTGACGCGATCGGACTCCCCGATTCCTACCTTACTCTAGTTTGAGAACGAAGGGGGAATTTTGGCCCAGATTGTCCCGTCCTTAGACAAATACTTCTGCCTACCCCCTTCACGGACGGTCCTCGGGTTCCGGGCCCTCACCGCCCCCGGGCTACCTCCCGGAACCCACCCGGTCCGTTGTTCTCCGCGGATCCTGTGTCTGTCACTGCGATCCCCCCACGCAGGGGTTACTGGTTTTCTGTCCCAGTTTTCCCGTCGTCCTGGGACCACAGCGGGGATTGAGAGGCAAAAATACGGCTGGAGTCGACAGGGTTCCCCATCTATCTTTTCCCCCGTGTTGCCTCTTCACGAGTGGTCTTCGGGAAGCACATCGGCAGGCTTACCACCCCCTGTCTGCTTTACCCTCCCGACTCGTATCCCAACACCCCGCACGTACGGGTCGGATCCGCGTTTGTACCCTCTTCCTGCCGGGAAACCTGACGCATCCTATCCCTTCACCCTAGTGAGGTCTCGGTGAGTGGGCCGGTTGACCTCCCGGATTCAGGGGGGGACTGAGAGGGAGTTTTGTGTCTGGGTGAGGGCCACCGATAACCCTCATCCTACACCCTCCCTCTTCACGTAAGGTCCTCATGGATCGAGCTTCGGGAGAAACACTAGTCCCACTATTTCCATTCCTATTACGTATCCCTATTGTGCTCGCGATGTCAGGCTCCCTTGGGTCGCTAAAATTCCGGCTAAACGCCTGTTTATTACTTTGGTAATTATGGCTTACCCCTTCTCCAGCTCCATCCCTCCGTGTTCGGCCGCTTCCTTTTTCCCGTCCTTCTTCCTCTTTCTCCTGCAATCTAGACCCTCCTTCTGCTTGCCTCCAGTCCAGTGATTTTCCAAGTCGGCAGACAACGTCCACGATGATCTTCTGTAGCCTCATCTTCGACGATTGATCCATGGCGATCCTCCCCAGCTGCCTCCATCCCCATTCGATATCCCTAGTACAGATAACCCCCTTCTTGTATTCTTATTCAACAAAGATCAGCCTCTCTTTCGCATCTCGTCAGGAGTCGAATCTCCCGACGGGATCCCAGACGGCACCACGTGGAGGCGAGAGGGTGTGATTTTCGGGGCTTCCAGACTTCTCCGAGCAACGACAACATGTTTAATTACTCTCGGATCTATCTGGACATCCTTCCACCATCCCGGGGTGGAAGAATCCCCTAAATCTGCCGCCCCTTGTCTCCCTTACACGGGTCTTTCTGCGACAAGTGTGCTCCTTGTCGCACTCACCGGCTGTTTACATGCGAGGTGCCTACGTGACTTTTGGCCTAGCAACTGACCCGGATTACCGTTAATCCAACGGTAATCCAATTATTCGCAAATCAGCCACCCTGCAATATATTGCTCATTTTTAAGACGCTTGCTCGTTGCCGGTTCGATCGAATCATCGCGCTAAACCAAATTCACACGCTCAACGCTGTAATTTAGGACACGCCGCACTAGTGTATAATCCTTTTCTGTTAAAATATTGTTTATTTAAATTTGTTATTCGTGTATTTTCTGTGAAGTATTAAACACGTGTTCGACTACAAGGAGTGAAAACTACTAGTTTAGTCTACCATTCCTTGTTGTTTCGAAACGGGCGGATTGCCGCAAATTTCGATTGAAAATCGCTGGGATCGCTCAGCGCTGAGCGTGGAGGTGGAAGGAGGACTCTTGCTCGAGTCCAGAAAAACACACGCGAAACTATGAGAATTGACCGAACACTTGGAACGTTCATTGGACGATATACAATAATTAAGACGGAACGAGAATGCGATACGCGTTCGATATAATTTGTTGGCTGATTGCAACAGAGATAAATTTGTTGTAATGGCGCGAGGCACTTGCGGTTTTTCGCGTGAGAACCGTACCGGTATTCTTCCAGTTCTGCTGGGCTATCGGCGCAGGACAATACGCGAGCACCGAGAGTCCTTTTTTGCACACCTCGGTGATTTGCGGTTAGACATCGCGCGATACAGGTGCGTGTTATGATTGGTTTCGCCGAATTCGCGTGATATTTCGTGGAACGAGCAGCGCGACGGAATCTCGCGAGACCTCGTCCACACTCGGGAAACCTCGGCCGCGCGACGGTGCGCGAGCGCGTTGATTGAATTCCAAACACTTGTACAAAGTTATATTAATACTAATGCGTGATTTTAATTCCTAATATGCAGTAAGATGTCGGAGCCAATTTTTATTATGTCACCGGATGCAGTAAGTGACACAATGTCGCTTGTCCATGAGTGTTCCGGAACGCGGCCCTTCCCGAATTCTGCAGCCGTAAACTCACGCGATTACCATTTGAACGCCTCAACGCTATTAGCGTAATCCTCGCGATTACCGCGTGCGCGTGGCTCGCAATTCGGTCAGGAGCGCAATTCCCCCTCCGGAGCGACCATCAGATCGTTGTCATCGTTCGCTCCGGTGACCTCTGACTTAAAACACAACCGTTTTAATCGCAAATCGATCACCACGTGCTTTACCATTGTTCCTTTTCATTTCCACCGCACGTGGACCATAGCTTTTAGCTATCGCCGTTAGTAATAACATCGTTCACCGTTAATTTGTGTTTCATTTATTCTGTTACTAAAAATTCAGTGCGTACAGTTGTTAACATAAATTAAACTGAGTTCACAACCACCACACGTGTGAGGCTCGGTTAATTTCTATCACCCCGATCGCAAATCCCCCATACGGGATAACACCAGCCACGAAACATTTGGTCCTTCGAGCCGGATTTGCATCGCGGATTCAACGAGGAAGAAATTTAACTGACGACCACACAACCAAATTTCTGTGAATATGAGTGCGCTACAGCAAATGCTCACGAGGCAGAAATGCGCCATGCGCTCCATCGAGCGCAGCCTAACCAATTTCAAAAAATTGGGGAAGGAAAAAATGACCGCAGCCGTAACGACCAATCGAAGAAGTCAGCTGGAAAAGGCATTCGACGAGTGCAAAACCATTAACGTCGAATTGCACGTTCTCGCGGACGACAAGGAGAAGGCCACGATCCCGTACTTTGCCGAGGACCACTTCGACGATTGCGAAACCATCTTCCACGAAACCATGGATTTCATGGCGGATTGGCTCGCTGGGCTTACCAAGTCGTCACCGATGCTCAACAACGGCGAAACGACGACACCGTCAAGGACGAGCAGCCATCTTCCCAGCCTACAATTGCCGACATTCGACGGAGCGCTCGAGCAGTGGGAGAGTTTCCATGACCAATTTAAATCAATGGTAATTAGCAATCGCAATCTATCACAAGTCGATAAAATGCAGTATCTCTGTTCGGCACTAAAGGGAGAAGCGAAAGCCGCGATTACATACCTTCCAATTACAGACGCGAATTTTGAAATTGCATGGAAAATAGTCCACTCGCGATACGCGAATAAACGGCGTCTCATTAACGCGCACTTAAACGCGCTTTTCACTCTACCATACCTTGCTACCGAGTCACCGAAAGAGATGCGCGCATTACGCGATCGTTTAAACGGAGCCATTCAAGCGCTTAAAATTCTGGAGCGACCAGTAGATTCGTGGAGCGACGTTCTAGTTTATATCGGGGTTCAACGATTAGACCCAGCGTCCCGAAAGGCGTGGGAATTAACGCTCGGAAACGCGACCGACTTCCCTACGTTCCAAGAGTACGATGCGTTTCTCGAATCGCGAATCGGTGCTCTCGATTTTATCGTTCCGTTAAAATCGGAAAAACCGATTAAACCGAAGCTCCTCTCCGCGCATGTAGCTTCCTCCGCTACCATCACGTGCCCCGTTTGTAAAGGCAATCACCTGCTTTACAAATGCACAAATTTCTCGAGCAATCCCCGGCCGACCGGTACAATTTTATAAAAGCGCAACGCCGATGTATTAACTGTTTCTCCGTCAAGCATTCCGCTCCTCAGTGCCTCAATCAGCACCAATGTCGAGATTGTCACCAGCGCCATCATACTCTCCTGCATTTTCCTTCAAAAAATCTGAAACCACAAAACGGTCAGGAAGCGCCTGCAGCGACATCAACGGCGAATGAGATAAGTTCTCACCTGGTAACAAAACCCGTTACTAATACCTCCGTTTTGTTGTCAACAGCCCGAGTACACATATACTCGACCTCTGGTAAATCTATAAGGACCCGTGCGTTGCTTGATCAAGGCTCAGCTGCTACGTTAATAACAGACGAACTCGCACGACGTCTCCGTTTGCGCCGACAACCTCACTCCGTGTGCATCACCGGTATTGAATAACTCGGAATCGCTGGCGACCCACTCCGCAGTCATTCGGTTCTCACCAACGCACACCGTCGAGCCTGTATACACGACATCAGCAATTATTTTAAAATCACTAACCAGGTACACACCGTCGTTAAAATCGACAATATCTGAATTTACTCACCTTTCAGATTTGAATCTCGCCGACGACCAGCCCATGAGTTCGGATCCAATAGATCTTTTGATTGGAGCTGACTTGTATGGGCAGTTGCTCACAGGGGAAATTCGGAGACGAGCTGTCAACGAACCTGTGGCACAATCCACGAGGCTAGGTTGGATCCTCTCAGGTCCCATCCACCAATCCAAAATTCCGTCGCGAGTCGAAGTGCACCATAACGCGGTTTTCGAGCGTCTCGACGAAAGCATCCGCAAGTTCTGGGAAGTTGAAACAATCCCGGTTCAGTCCGTGTTGTCGCCCGCGGAAGAGAAGTGCGAAAGGCATTTTCGGACGACGCACTCGCGAGCGGAAAACGGTCGGTTACATTGTCCGATTACCATTTGCCACCGATAACATCGCGTTAGGAGAGTCCCGATCCGCCGCCGAGAATTGCCTCCTTCACTTAGAAAACCGATTTCGTCGCGATCCGGAGCTAGCATCCGAATACAACATTTTCATGCAAGACTACGAATTGCTCGGGCATATGAGGAGAGTCGAGGCTAACGCGACCACCGGTGGGAGTTATTATATCCCCCACCACGCCGTATTTCGTACCGCAAGCAAAACCTCTTGCCTGCGAGTCGTGTTCAACGCGTCGCGAAAAACCACAAATGGGCAGTCTTTGAACCATTTGTTGATGAGCGGTCCAAAGCTGCAACAGGATCTGACGAGCATTTTTATGCGATGGAGGCAGTACAAATACGTGTACACCGCCGACATCGCCAAGATGTACCGCCAGATCCTGATCAGCGAGGCTGACGTGGATTACCAAAGAATTTTGTGGCGAAATACCCCCGCGGACCCGATCTCGGAGTATCAACTCTTGACCGTGACTTATGGCACGACGTCAGCACCATTCCAGGCAATTCGAGTCCTTCAACAGCTCGCTCACGACGACGGAAAACTGTTTCCCCTCGCGATCCCCATCATCAAAAATCAGACGTACGTCGACGACTGCCTATTCGGAGCTGATGATCCGAATCAGCTCCGCGAGTCCCGCGATCAGTTAGTCGATTTATTAAAAAAGGGCGGATTTCACCTCCGAAAATGGGCCAGTAACGACCCCGCGCTATTGAGCGATATTGACCCTTCAGACCATGGCCTAGCCAGTGGTCAAGCCATTCCAACGGACGAGAATTTGTCCATACTCGGAATATCCTGGAATCCAATCACGGATACTTTCCAAATTAAAGCAAACGCGATTAGTGATCCACCGCGAACCAAACGAGCCATTCTGTCTGAAATCGCAAAACTGTTCGATCCGTTGGGCTGGATCGTGCCCGTCATCGTCACCGCGAAAATTTTAATGCAACAATTATGGCAATCGCGTTGCGATTGGGACGATAATGCACCGGCCGCGATACTGAACCATTGGATCACCTATTGGGATCAACTACCGCGCGTAAGCGAGCTGTCGATTCCACGACTAGTCGTTTCGGGCCTGACTCACCGTCGGGAGTTGCACGGATTCTCAGACGCCTCCGCAAAAGCATACTCCGCGGTAGTATACCAAAGAAGTATCGCCTACGATGGACAAATCCAAATCGCTATCCTCGCGGCGAAAACACGAGTAGCACCACTCAAAACTATCTCGATTCCGCGATTGGAATTGTCAGCAGCTTTGCTGCTTGCCGAACTCGTTAAATATATTCGACATTCCACTCCGCGCTACGAATACGATGTCTTCTGCTGGACTGACTCAAGCATCACACTATGGTGGTTGAGCAAATCGCCGAATCAGCTGAAGACATTCGTCGCTAACCGGGTTGCAAAAATCCAGGACACATTACCCGATGTTACCTGGTGCCATGTTTCAACCGACCAGAATCCCGCCGATTGCGCGTCCCGCGGCCTCCTCCCAGCGGAATTAGAGAACCACCGATTATGGTGGACCGGTCCACAGTGGCTTCGCGAAACAAAGCACACGTGGCCCACTACAACTCCTGTAGTTCCCCCTGACATTTGTCGCGAGGAGCGAACAAATTTGCAAATATGCGTGGTCACGACCGCAAAACCATGGGAATTAGCAAACCGCCATTCGTCGTGGCCGAAGCTCCTTCGCGTAACCGCGTACGTAATGCGATTCGTCGCAGCCGTCCGAAAAATCAAACGAGTGCACTCGACTCACCGAGATTCTTCGGAAATATCCCCGCTCGTCCTGCATCCAGAGGAAATCGCGCAAGCCAAACTCTTCTGGCTCAGGACAATGCAGGCCGAGACCTTCCCCTCCGAAGTATCCCAGCTCAAAAAAAAACCTACCACTGCCAAAACATAGTGCCATACGTTCGTTGGTCCCTTTTCTCGACAAGAACGGCCTCATGCGCGCCCAAGGGCGACTAGAAAATTCGTCGCTGTCGCCTGGAGAAAAGAACCCAATCATTTTACGTTCGCATACCATTCTCTCAGGAATAATAAGGCATACGCACCTCCAAACTCTCCACGGAGGACCACAGCTCACTCTATCCGTTCTGCGGAGAGAGTACTGGATCCTGCGAGCGCGGGCCACAATTCGAGCAGTATTGCATAAATGCGTGGCATGTGCACGAGAAAGGGCCACAGTCCCTACCGAACTCATGGGCGACCTTCCGGCTGCGAGGGTTAATCCTGAAAGACGAGCATTCATAAATACCGGAGTCGATTATGCAGGGCCGATCGCAGTGCGAAACGCGCCCGGTCGAGGCCATAAGACGCACAAAGCTTACATCGCAGTCTTTGTGTGCATGGCAATAAAAGCCGTACACCTCGAATTAGTAAACGACTGCTCTGCGTTTATAGCGGCGTTTCATCGTTTTGTGTCCCGTCGAGGCAGACCGAGAGCAATGTTTTCGGATAACGGCACCACTTTTCACGGAGCAAATCGCGAGCTTTCTGAAGCCATTAAAGTAACGTCACAAAACGTTGATTTCCTAAATCACGCCGCCGTAACTGGAATTAAGTGGCACTTCCTGCCTCCCGCGGCGCCACATTTCGGTGGGTTGTGGGAAGCCGCGGTCAAGAGCGTGAAACATCACCTCAAACGTACCATCGACGCCCACACGCTCACAACCGAGGAAATGACAACGTTATTGTGTCGAATAGAGGCTTGCCTCAACTCGCGACCGATAGCAGCCAATTCCGAAAGCATTGACGACTATCAACCGTTGACACCGGGTCATTTTTTAATCGGGACCGCCCTCATCGCCGAACCACAACCAAGCGTTTTAGATCTCGCCGAAAATCGATTATCGCGCTGGCAAATCGTGCAACGCATAACCGAAAATTTTTGGAAATCGTGGTCAACCGATTACCTGCACACGCTGCAACAACGGCCAAAATGGCTGACGGTCCAACGCCTCGCCAAAGTAGGACAGATTGTTCTCCTGCGAATTGCGACAGCGCCTCCAGCCACGTGGGAACTCGGGAGAATCACAGCATGCCACCCAGGGAATGACGGTATTACCCGCGTCGTGACAGTGAAAACTAGCAGGTCCGAATACACACGCCCGCTCGCCAAGTTGTGTTTCCTACCGGTTTCCATAAACGAAGACGAGGAACGGCGCAGCAGCTCCGATGTCACCGATATCGCGTAGCGACAAATTTCCTCACACAATCTTGTAAATAGTTAAATTTAGATTAATTAGGTTAAGTTGTACATATCCGTCCACCATGTTTACTCCGTGTAACCCACCGTACGACAACGAATGCGTACGAGAACCGTAGCACGACCTGAACGTAGCGTCACGTGCCCCCACTCCGTCGATTCATTCACTCGCCGCTAGTTGAATGTATCCATTCAACGGGGGGCCGGTGTGTTCCGGAACGCGGCCCTTCCCGAATTCTGCAGCCGTAAACTCACGCGATTACCATTTGAACGCCTCAACGCTATTAGCGTAATCCTCGCGATTACCGCGTGCGCGTGGCTCGCAATTCGGTCAGGAGCGCAATTCCCCCTCCGGAGCGACCATCAGATCGTTGTCATCGTTCGCTCCGGTGACCTCTGACTTAAAACACAACCGTTTTAATCGCAAATCGATCACCACGTGCTTTACCATTGTTCCTTTTCATTTCCACCGCACGTGGACCATAGCTTTTAGCTATCGCCGTTAGTAATAACATCGTTCACCGTTAATTTGTGTTTCATTTATTCTGTTACTAAAAATTCAGTGCGTACAGTTGTTAACATAAATTAAACTGAGTTCGCAACCACCACACGTGTGAGGCTCGGTTAATTTCTATCACCCCGATCGCAAATCCCCCATACGGGATAACACCAGCCACGAAACAATGAGGAACATGAAGGGGAGAAAAGTATGGAGGTGATTGAGACGGAAGAAAGAAGGGACTCGCCGGTAATTGGGGAAGTACACAGGAAAACCAGGAGACGAGAGGATGAAGATGGGGAGGGAATGAAGACATTAGCAATAAAATTTGCGAATAGAGCAATGTGTAAAGAGGCAGGGTCATATCTATTTGATGCGTTTTTCAAGAAGTCTCTGAGGCTCAAACGGAAATTATCAATAAGTCGTTGGGAGGTGAAAGGAGGGGAAGTATTATTTACAACAAAATGTAAAGGTACAATGGGAATAATGGAGGAAATAAAAAAACAAGGATTGAGCTGAAGGGGATATAAATATGTTATATGTAAAGTAGAAAAATTTAAGAGGAAATGTACGATGGTGGTTTGGACTAACCATAACTTACTGACATTCGAGAACATGCAAGAGGCTATGATTTTAGAGTACCCGGAGATTATGGTTGAATCGTGGCAGTTAGTCAAAGAAACTAAAACAGAGAATAGAGGCAAAGAATTCGCGGTAAAAGTAAAAAATAGAATTGTGCAGAAGATAAAACGAGTGAATGGTCGGTTTAGGTTATGTGGGGGGTGGGTAGTGAGGGTAGTCTGTCACATGATGTAAATACTAAATATAAGCTGGAGTTATTATAGATTACTATAATTACTAATAGTAAGGAATGGTGTATGTATAGGGTGAACAGAGTAGGTAAGGTATAGATTAACATACAATATAATATAAAGAATGAGTTGATAGATTGAGATATGAAGGTGGAGGAGTGATTCTTGAAGAGTTGAACGTGTTTCTTCTTTATTGAGAATTCTAATCGGTATTGATAATTAAGTGACGTATCGGATAATAATTGAGTTGGCTCTGTTTAAGAAAATTGTATTGATTGTTAAAATTGCACTCTGTTTGGGTTGTATTTACGGGTTGAATACATTTTGTCTAAAGTGGGGTTAGGTTGCACGTGACTGTCGACGGTATTGGTGACAGTGATAGTGTAAGGCGTTATTTCCCTCGAGAAGACAACAACGAACGAAAATGGCAAGCGAGGCGCAAAATACAAGAGGAAGACCACCAAAAAATGTAACAAATAGCAAAATAGCAGCAGAGGACGAAAAGCAAATCTTATTAACCTCAAAGAAGAACAGCACATCAACAAGCGACCAGGAAAAAGAAACAGAGGAAAGCTTAACATCGGTTCTAAGCCAGATGATAAGCAGAATGGACAAGATGTCAGAAGAAATGAAAGGCGTAAAAGAAGAGCTAAGAGAAGTAAAGAAAGAGTATGCAGGCCTAAGCAACATAATGAAGGAAATCTCAAACATAAATGAAAAAATGGAAGAAAAAGAATTGAGATGGGCTGAAGAAAAGATATACCTAGAGAAAAGAATTGAAATGTTAGAGAGTATAGAAGAAATTAGGAGAAGAAGGGAAAAAAAATACAACATTATTATTAAAGGATTGAACATAGGTGGGGAAGAGGAAGAAATAAGAAGATTTATGAGAAACAAGCTAAAGGTAGAGCCAAAAATAGAATATACGCAAATAATAAAAACGATCAACAACAATAAAATAATAAGAGTTAAATTAGCATCCTGGGAAGACAAGCAGCAAATAAAAGAGAATAAAAAGTTACTGAGGGGAGAGAAAATCTACATAGACGATGATTTAACAATGAAACAAAGAGAAATACAGAGAGAAATAAGCAAATGCGCATCAATCCAAAAAGAACAAGGAAGAAAAGTCAAAATAGGCTATCGAAAAATATATGTAGATAGCGAACTGCTAATATGGAAAGATGGAACAGGGCTTGTGAAGAGTCAGTCGTTTCGGCAGCATGAATGACAAGGAAATAAAACCAAAAGAAAAAGCAAATAAAATTGAAATAATATTCTGGAATATACACGGCATGGAAAATTTAAACAAACTAACTAAAGAAGACTACATAGAACATATTGAAAAAAGTGCAATAATATGCCTAAGTGAAACATTTAGAACAGAAAAACAAATAGAACTGCCAGCACTTTTAAATAAATACAAATACATAGTAAGTGAAGAGAGCAAAGAAAAATCACTAGGACGAGCCAGTGGAGGCATGTGCATTATTTATAAAGAAGACCAAATAGAAAAAGTGCAGACAATATCAATCACCGAGGCATGGATATGCATAAAAATTAAGATAAAGCAAAAGGAATACATAATATGCAGTACTTACATAAGGAATGGCAACAAGCAGCCAATAAGAACATTGGAAGAAATGCTAGCAGAAATCAAAGAAAAAACATTGGTACCAATAATAGTAGGGGGGGACTTCAATGCAAGGATAGGTACAAATAATCAAATAGAAGAAGGCATAACAGAATCAACTGAATTCACACATACCAGACAAACAAGAGATAACACAATAAATAGAGCAGGGAAAATACTAAGCGAAAACATGGAAGAACTAGGACTGTTAATATTGAATGGGAGAAGCCGTGCAGACAGAAAAGGACACTATAGACTTGGGTAGACATAAAAATGGTACAAGAAATAGAAGATTTTGAAGTAATAGAAATGGGAACCTCTGACCATTTACCTATAAAGATCAGAATGAAGCTAATTGGTAGGGATGAAGAAAAAGAAAAAGAAAAAAAGGAAATGGTAATAGTAAGTAGACTAAGATCGGATAACAAAATAAAAGACAAATACCAAGAAACCCTAGTATGTCAAGGAATAGAAGAAGGGTTAACAGGTGAAAACTTAAATGTATTAGTTACAACCAAAATAAAAGAAGCCGCCAACACACTGGGACTATTAACATACACAAAAATAAATAAAACACAACAATATAAACAAACAGTGGTTTAACAAAGAATGCTATAGAGCCAGGAAAAAGCTAAGAGAAACAGCAAAGCTCTTTAGAGAAAAAGGAGAAATGCAAACAAGAGAAAACTACTTAGAAGCAAGAAAGCAATACCGAACTCTAATAAAGAATACAAAAAACGAATACCACAAG